GCTCTAAAATCTTATATGGTGCTTAAATAACATTTATGCAAAAATAACTATACCTAATTGTGCAAAGTATTATCTGCATGCATTTGATGTTTACAAGTTAACTAGACGATCAACGATCGTTTAMATGGGCTTCCTATGCTATCACAATCAGCAAACGAAGAAGTGACAATAGTTTTATTGTGATAATCGAAGAATTGTATTATATTGAGCCCTAGTAAAGTTTATATTACTAAGACTAAAGCAAAAATAATAAAAAAGATGCAATGTACTTTATAGCATTAAGCATAATATTGTGTAAAATAAGTAACTATGTTTGACGAGCCATTCCGCGTAAACACAGGTCGATAGTCTTTCATGTTCTTCGCTTAAAATACTTCCAATCATATCATTTTCCTCAGTATAACACTGTTGGGATTCCTTAGATAGTCTTTTGCGATTGCAGAAGTTTGCAGACCAGGACATAAACTGAACAAATTGCTTCCACCTAATAATAACTGCCCTTATAACTTAAGAAATAGAAGATCTTTTAATAAAATCAAGATATCAACAAAAAGAACACGGTCAAGTTTCATAAATTTCAATGCAATGAAATAACACTGCTCTATAACAATCTTTCAATTAAATAYTATATACGCCTTCTTAACAATCAATCATACATGTACATATATTCAATTCTCATATTTTACATATTTATGAAATTTTATCAAATTTATATATTTATATATCAATTATTGTAACTTTAACGTAATTCAGCCTTTTGGCTGCCAAGTTATTTGAATAAAACTATCTATCTATCTATCTGATCCTGTATAAGTTAGCATATAATTCGCTTATTCACGATAGGAAGATTCACGATAAATTAACGGTATCCCTACGAAAAACGCTCGACATCATTTAGTGTTTCTATACCGCGAATGACACGTGGATTTGTAAGAGATTTGAGCGTATTTGTAGTAGCTAGATCCGTGATTTCCATCTCTAAACGATCCTTTTAAACTTGGTATATAAACTCCCATGGGTTTAACGTTACACGGTGTTTAAGGGTTARTTGATTTACAATCGAATGGTTGAGCGAGTTTAATTTAGAATTACTTTGGTTTATGTCCTTCAAGTTGTATTGTGTGTGACCTACGCGTGGTCTTGGATAGGTTAACGCGGTTGGAGGAAGACCAAAAGGACACGGAGGACTCGGCCCTGAGTGAGATTCGGCGATTAGCAACTGAGAAAGCAACGAATGTTTCAAAGGACCACGTGTTGGATCTGTTGCTGAGACTTAAGATGCTAGCCAAAGAGAAGGCACACACGAAAGCTGGTTATTTCGCCGCGGTATTTGAGGCAATGAGAGAAAAGATGGGTGTTGAAGTCCAAGTCTTTAAGCGTTATATTACGGTTCTGTTGGGAGACAAGGATCAAGAAAAAGTGCTTGAAACCCTGGGCAAGGTGGACAAGGCCATGAGGGCGACGAGTAAAGGGGCAAGGTCGGATCGTCCATTGACCAGCGGATTCCGTGGTTCTCGTGGTGGTGCGGGGAGTTTTTCTAATATTCAATGTTATAGCTGTTATGCTTATGGGTACTATCAAAGTCATTGCCCGTCTAGGAGAGGCCCATTGCCCGCGCGCAAGAGGGCGAGAAATTCATCAGATCCAGTGTAAATTGACTTGGTGTAATAACAGTTCGTGAATATGAGTGTAATAACCAATAAATCGGCCATGATATCTTTGTGTGTCTTGTAGGGAGGGGCCCCCTTTTGTTTCCTTCTCGGTTTTAGGGTGGGTAGACTCCTGCTGGTTATCCTTTCTCTGGGATAACCTTCGGACGACCTGTAACAAGCGTGTGAGGTCTACTCTCTCCTGAACGGAAACCCTGTGTACTCATTATTACTTAAATTATCCCGGGTTACCTCGGTTCCATAGGATGGGTTTTACTCTGTGTTTCATTTCGCTTAGGTTCCTTGGCCTAAAAGGAGACGTACCGAGGGAAATCGCTCTTCGAGAGAAGCAATATTTGAATCTAGACTTAAGGGTGTAAAACCTAATATGGAGTGTTCATGGGTAAACGTCGATGGGGTTCCTGTCCAGGAGGGAGGGCCTTACACAGCCGACATCGCAGGCATACTGGCCGGCAAGACAGCCGCGTTAGATTCTCTACGTCTAAGAGATCCCATGGCTGGGGGAATTCATGCAAACCCCGAGGGATGGGAGGAAATCCTACATGACCACCCGCTGAGGGGTATGATATTAGGCTGGATCCGCAAAAAATCGATATCATGGAGTTTAGCCAGTTTAGAAAGGGGTTTTTCGAGGAGTGAAGTATGATTCCAGGCTACCTCCGCCGAAGTGTTTTCCGAATCATCCATCGTGCAGGAAATTCAGCGAATTTGTGTCCGTGGAAATTATAAACCGGGTCGAAACAGGAGCGCTACGTTTTTGGGGAAAAGTGGGTGAAGGTAGCCTCCGTTCTTGGTTCTTCCCCTCACGGTTGAGCCCACAAAGCCGCGATTGTGTGTGGATGCACGGTTCTTAAACCTTTGGATGAGAGATAGTCCCTTCAAGTTGGATAAACTGTTGGATGTCACAAGATATGTATATAAAGACTCACTAATGACGAAATGTGACGATAAGTCCGGGTACGACCACGTCCTCTTGCAGGAAGCGTCGCGGAAATACTTTGGAATTCGCTGGGAGGGTTGTTGGTTCGTGTGTACTACCCTTCCTTTCGGCTGGAAAGAATCACCGTTTGTTTATCACACGATCGGTTCAGCAGTGTCCAGCTACTTCAGGGGCATGGGTATTCCTTGTTCGATTTACATTGATGACAGGCTCCAGGGTGAGATTGTGACCAAGGAGGGACCATGGTCTGTGCTCCCGGAGGTGCGAGAGGAGTTGTTCCGGGTGGAAGCGGCCACTGCTTCGGTAGTGATTGTAGTGTCAACATTGGTATGGTTGGGGTACACCGTTGGCATTAAGGTATCTGGGGACAGTTGTKTTTAGTAGCGACCATTACGAAAGAAACGCATCGAAATGCAGTTTATTTTGCTTTGATCCGGTCAATATTTTGTCAAATGAAGGATAAAAGACCAAAATATGTTATATATAGATTTCATGAAAATCGAGTATAATTTATTCAASTTAKGGGKAAATCCTGGAAAACACTTAAACTTGAATATTTCGCAAACCAAGGACAAGGACACTGGCCAARCAATCATGACCGACACATTGAGAGAGGAACTGGAGTATTGGCGGTTCTTAGATACATGGAGTGATTCTCTACCGTGGAGAGATGAAAGACACGTGCAGGTATCGGTCTCCACTGATGCGTCGCAGTATGGCTGCTGGGGTTGTGTGGTACATTTACCAACTGGGAACGAGGCTTTTCGAGACTTGTGGTCATCGGAACAGATAGCGTTGAATATTGCGTCTAAAGAAATGTTGGCAGTAACTTGTGCTATTAAGTCGCTTCCATTGGAAATTAGGAACTGTAGACTGGATGCGCAGTTGGACAGTCAGGTGATCATCGATACGTTTCAGGGTCAAGGGAGTCGTGGTTCACAGGAACTTACAAGGGTTTGCAAGGAGTTGTTCTCGGTACTTTCAGAGCGGAACTTACAGCTCAAGATGTTACACGTGTCTTCTGCGCTCAATGAAGCAGATGGCCCATCGAGGGTACTCAGTCCCCTGGACTCAACGTTGTCTGGGAAGGCGTGGAAGCAGGTAGAGAGGGCATATGGAGGGGAGCGAGGTCATACTTTCGATCTAATGGCCCTAGACTCCAACGCCAGGGTTGACCGCCATGGAGTTGCGCTACCGCATTTCACACCCTTCGTAACACCGGAGTCTAGTGGTGTGAACGTCTTTTCCCAGAACCTGCATGCTGAAGATGAACGTTTTGAGAATATGTACGTATTCCCCCCTTTTGGCTTGGTGGGCGCAGTCCTGGAATTCATGTACAGGTTTAAGAAGCCATTCACAATAGTTGTGCCAGAATGTTACCCATTGTCACCTTGGTGGCCAAGTTTGTTGGCTAGATGTTCTTCAAGGATTTTTTTGGGTGTGAAGGGCGACTGTTCTGTGCTCCTCGGCCCTTCCAAATCGGGTTTTAGACAAGTACCCTGTCCCTTTGGCATGTGGGCGTGCCGTGTGGGTAGATTCTCATAGACTAATGTGTTACTTCTATAAATATTTCTGTGGGACTTTCTGTGGCCTCGCTATAAAGAGGCGATTGTATTAGTGAGGAAATTTTATGTACTTGCAGACATTGCCAGTGGTGCCTAAACTGTTTTGTCCGTCTGTGGCGTGTCCCCAATGTAGTTACCCGAACGACGACGACTTTGCCTTCTGCCAGAGATGTGGGTATTCAAGAAAGTCGAGATTTCACAAGCAGTAGGATGGCTACCCACCCACCTCCCGGGGCAAGCGTACGACTAAAAAAAAAAAACAAATCCACCTTTGGGGCTTAACTGGACGGTTCCAGGCCAGGTGGATATCCCCATACCGGGTAATGAATTTCTGTAAAATGTCACTAATTACAATCAAAGCTGTCATAAATCAGTGTTTTCCAAATATATTTTGCTAGGCATGACATGTCAAAACCAGAGAACTTCTACCTTCAGGAAGAGAATGCAAGAACTCTTAACAAGATCAAAGAAGACTACAAGACTAGGAAGCTTTCATGTGAACATCAACCCTTGCTGGACATCGAACTAGATAATATTGTTATAGATGAACTTCACCTTATGCTCAGAGTGACAGGTACACAGTAAAACATAATATAATAGTATAACAGTAAAAGAAAATTGTGACTTCTTCTTGTCTATAATAGAATGCAAGCAACTAACCTGTAAAAAATTTAGTGTTCATCATATAAATGAATTATAATTATTTAAAATAACTTCTAATTTATTTAACTCTACAGATGTTTTGACTAAAAATCTAGTTACAGAGGCAATTGAATGGGACACAAAAGAAAATTTAAACAAAGCCCCAAGTCAAAGAACCGGATACCAGAAAGCTAGAGTTACCCCTTATATGCATGGTATGGTATATCATGTTCCTCACTTCATGAGAAAGCACACAGGAGTAAAGCAATTTACAGGTCAAGGTAAGAAACATGGCTCTTTTTAATTAACAAAAGAATATCACATTACTTAAGCCTATTTATTAATATTGTGAAATAGGTGTGGAAAAAAATAATGATGATTGTAGAAGGATTCATCTACAAAAATCCAATAAATGGGATGCTGCAAAAGATGTTTTGCTTGTAAGCAAAAGACTTGAGGCTCTGGCCTCATATGAAAGAACCCCAAGATCCTATCTTAAGAGAAATGCAGAATACTGGGGAAAAGAAATTAAGGAAAAGCGGGCCAAACAAAAATTGTCCACAAAAACCACAAGAATGTGTGAAGAGGAAGAGCCAAACACAGAAAACATGTCACCAAAACAGTTAAAAGATGCCCTTAAACAAATGGGTGTCATTACACGTGTAAGAAATGTAAAGCGTCTACAAGAATTATATGTTGATGCTATGAGAGAACAACAAAAATAGATTATCGGTACTTGAAATGTCCTAAACTTGAGCTAATATTAATACATTAGTTATTTAATCAATTCATACAGTAAGCAAGGTGTCAGCACTACAAGCCCTTTTGGCCATAGTTATGCACAATTTCTCAATAGGCATTCTTGGTGCAGGTATGGGCTTGCCATTACAATCACTGTATACATAAGTTTTCACTTGTCCAGCTTAGTATTGGCTTGATTTTTAATGGGAAATCAATTGCTTGGCCCTGTCAATTTTGATCTAAATAAAACCACCAGTTACTTTGCAAAGTGCAAAATAGATTGAAGTCCTCTTTTTGGTAAAGAGTATGAGCCTTGTGTTCTGAAGGAATTCCTTTTGTATTGGATATATAACGCCAAATGTCAAGGTACATACATAGGCCGCCCAACTAATGCATTAGAGACAGAAATGAATGAATGCGGACGCTTTTATTATGTATATGTATCGGCGCGCGCTCTTAGCAAAAATACGGGTTACCTGTGGTGTTACGTCACTATCTCGCGCCTCGCGACTACATACTAATCTGTGACAAGGTATGAAACACTGGTCACGTGATGGATCGATGTGTGCACCAGGTAGCTGGGACACTTTTTCGGAAAACGAAGATTCGACGGGTAGGCGAACTTTCACCGAAGGTAGGACGGAAAATATGGCGTGTGATTATTTGTCGTCAGAAAATACGCAGCAGGACGCAGCGCAGTGCTTTTGCGTTTTTAGCACAAATTGTTTTCTAAACCCATTTTAAACCGAAAAAAACGAACTTATTGCTTACTTAAGAGTGAGTTTCTGTAAATATCAAACATTTTCGAAAAATCTTGGACATCTCAAAAATTCGATTTTCCTGAGACTTTCCATACAAGTTTGACTCACCCCGCAATAAAGAAAAATCGGTATCATAAGGTCGGGGGGCCTTCGTTTCCATGGCAACCACCCCCACTATTTTGGGTCATTTTTGATCCAAAACAGCTGTAAATAGGTAGCGTATGCATGTACAATTTTTTATTATTATCTTTAATATATAAAAACATATAATGTTTCATTTAATTTTCACTTTGCACTAAATTACTAGATGTAATGCTTTCAATCATTTTTGCAGGAAGATTTAMAGCTGAAAAGTGAAWATGGAGTCAAAAAGMTGATTGGACTTGTAGATTTGGGAAAAGAACATGACCTCATGAGTTCTTTGACCACAGGTAAAGTGGTTTTATATAATAAGCACATTTGTACAGCATTCATAATTATGGTGATTGTATGACATACATTTACTATGCTTGTCTACCAATCATGTGCTTATCCTATATTCAGAGTTCTTTGTACAGTAATGTAACCTTACAGTGAATCCAATGTAATATCCGAGCTATAACACACAATAAATTCAAAGCATTGAGCTTGACCATGKGCAGTGTTATAATMAAATCTGATCCCTTTAATGGATACATTATATAATGACAAGTGTTGATAACTATGAACAGCCACCAAGTAAYSTAATTCCTTWTGTAATCATGATATCATCWYATTCYAAATGATCACCTTTTTTTAGGCGAAGAGAAGGCAGAATTGGCAACTCATGTTTGTCAGTTTKTGTTCCTTGGTAATACTGGTTTTCGTTTTCCCTTTGCACACTGGCCAACTAAAGAAGTAGACAGTGCCACTCTGTATATTCTCTTTTGGGAGGCTGTGTCAAAGCTGTTGCTTAGAGGAATAAAGATTGTGTACTGCTGCTGTGATGGCGGTGAAGCAAACCGTAATTTCATAAATATGCACTTTGATGGAAATGATCCAGTCAAGGGAAGGTTTTCTGTTGAAAATCCTTATACAAGGGAGCCTCTAATCTTCATTCTGGATTTCTCGGTAAGATTTATGCACTCTTTGAGGTTTTTCTTTGCATATAATATCAAATATAATAGATGTCATATTCTTTCCAAAAGAAAAACATTCAATGCCTACTAAATAAATGTATATTTTATTTGACATTCATTATGATTTTTGAATGATAAACACTTAGTAGGATTGAATTATTTTAGTTTTAACTAAAATATGTTATCAAGTTTTAAAAATGAAATATCTATATAGTTTTTACTATAATATCTCTTCAAGAATTTATTCTGAATATATAGTATTAGTATTTATCTTTTGTTGTTTACATTTAGCATAATGTAAAGAAGCTGCGCAACAATATCTCCAAAAGTAAAGTTGGTGGGACAAGAAATCTGACAATAAGTTCGCAATGTATTTCATGGAAACAGTGGTGGGATGCTTTTAATTGGGATCAACAAACCAATTCATTACCTCTACACCAGCRCTTRACTGTAAAGCATTTRCAGCTGGGATATTCTTCAAAGATGAGAAACCATCTTGCAGAGCAGGTTCTCAACAAAGACATGTTRGAGTTGATGAAGGTAATCAMAMCATTWTGATAGAAATGCATYKAAATYRTYTTGTAATTTTYCTCRAATCCTTRTTCTGTAGGCATACAAAGATGACCTCTCTGTTAAGGCTGGCAAAAATGTTACATATCTTGACAAAACAATAGAGTTTCTTGGTGTAACCAGCACCCTTATTAAAAACTTCACAAGTCATCAGACCTATACCAACATGGCTGACAGTCGTCTGGTTGAAAATGACAAGTGCTTACAGTGGCTCCAGGAATGGCAATCTGACGTTAAAGGAAGACTAGACCTCAAGGCATCTGAGAGAAATAGGCTATTTTTGTCTGACAAAACCATGAATGATGTGACATCTTGCATTTTAGGGTTTAAAGCACTGTGTAGTTTCTCGTTTAAAGCACACCCTGGATGCAGAGTTTCTGCATATCTTGTAAACAGTGACATCGTGGAAAATGTCTTTTGCCAACAACGTGGTCGGAATGGTCAAAATGACAATCCAACATATGTCCAGTATGGACCTTCCATTAATAGCATTCTGTTGGGACAAACCACAACAACCAAGAAGGGTAACACAGGAAAGGTTGACAGATATGCATTTTACAAGCCGAACAAGCTACCAGTGCAAAGGAAGGACAGCAAGAAAAGGCCATTATTAGAACCAAAGGAAACTGATGCTCCCGTAACCAGGGATGYTATGTCAGATAATGTTCACAATGTATGCGTGTTTCGGGAAAGTCTGCCAGCTGGCCTTCATGGGTTCTTTTTGTGACGAGAGGCCTTCTGGGAAGGCTCTCGTGATAATGTCATCGTGCAGGTAAATAAGAGTGTAACCACTCCACTTCTACCAGGCGTTCCTGGTGGTAACTTAAACATGTGGTTGTAGTCAAGGAGATCTTTTACGATCGAATTTCGGGTTTATCGATTTATACGAGACCATACGAAGTTATCTACGAAATCCTGACGTCTGAAATAATCACTGAAAATACGATMAAGAAACGATTTGTCCTGACCACGTGCGTTCTCAGTCTCTTCGATCGTTGATGTGTTTGTGCTTTCGAAGCTGAGTTGTTCTTTCTATTACGGTATAATGCATTTAAACTCTGTTGTGTCTAGACCTAGGCACAACTTTCTTTGCATTTACAGTCARGTGTGYATTYCTAAAGAATATTTTAGATTTTGTAGTGGTTTACGGGGATTGTTTGACAACAAAAGTCCGATTGCTTCGCTTGGCTTGTTACAGACCAGTCCCGACCGCATGATTACTGTCATTGGCATATTTTGATTAGATTAAAATAATTAATTTGACCAGGCGGGTTTCCTTTGCCTGAGTTGATAATATCACATTACTTGATATATACTAGCTATCATGTTTCATAGTTTCATAATTTAGCACATGGTGCACGAATANATCTGTGACAAGGTATGAAACACTAGTCACGTGATGGATCGATGTGTGCACCAGGTAGCTGGGACACTTTTTCGGAAAACGAAGAATCGACGGGCCGGCGAACTTTCACCGAAGGTAGGACGGAAAATATGGCGTGTGAAGTTGTCGTCAGAAAATACGCAGCAGGACGCAGCACAGTGCTTTTGCGTTTTTAGCACAAATTGTTTTCTGAACCCATTTTAAACCGAAAAAAACGAACTTATTGCTTACTTAAGAGTGAGTTTCTGTAAATATCAAACATTTTCGAAAAATCTTGGACATCTCAAAAATTCGATTTTCCTGAGACTTTCCATACAAGTTTGACTCACCCCGCAATAAAGAAAAATCGGTATCATAAGGTCGGGGGGCCTTCGTTTCCATGGCAACCACCCYCACTATTTTGGGTCATTTTTGATCCAAAACAGCTGTAAATAGGTAGCGTATGCATGTACAATTTTTTATTATTATCTTTAATATATAAAAACATATAATGTTTCATTTAATTTTCACTTTGCACTAAATTACTAGATGTAATGCTTTCAATCATTTTTGCAGGAAGATTTAMAGCTGAAAAGTGAAWATGGAGTCAAAAAGMTGATTGGACTTGTAGATTTGGGAAAAGAACATGACCTCATGAGTTCTTTGACCACAGGTAAAGTGGTTTTATATAATAAGCACATTTGTACAGCATTCATAATTATGGTGATTGTATGACATACATTTACTATGCTTGTCTACCAATCATGTGCTTATCCTATATTCAGAGTTCTTTGTACAGTAATGTAACCTTACAGTGAATCCAATGTAATATCCGAGCTATAACACACAATAAATTCAAAGCATTGAGCTTGACCATGKGCAGTGTTATAATMAAATCTGATCCCTTTAATGGATACATTATATAATGACAAGTGTTGATAACTATGAACAGCCACCAAGTAAYSTAATTCCTTWTGTAATCATGATATCATCWYATTCYAAATGATCACCTTTTTTTAGGCGAAGAGAAGGCAGAATTGGCAACTCATGTTTGTCAGTTTKTGTTCCTTGGTAATACTGGTTTTCGTTTTCCCTTTGCACACTGGCCAACTAAAGAAGTAGACAGTGCCACTCTGTATATTCTCTTTTGGGAGGCTGTGTCAAAGCTGTTGCTTAGAGGAATAAAGATTGTGTACTGCTGCTGTGATGGCGGTGAAGCAAACCGTAATTTCATAAATATGCACTTTGATGGAAATGATCCAGTCAAGGGAAGGTTTTCTGTTGAAAATCCTTATACAAGGGAGCCTCTAATCTTCATTCTGGATTTCTCGGTAAGATTTATGCACTCTTTGAGGTTTTTCTTTGCATATAATATCAAATATAATAGATGTCATATTCTTTCCAAAAGAAAAACATTCAATGCCTACTAAATAAATGTATATTTTATTTGACATTCATTATGATTTTTGAATGATAAACACTTAGTAGGATTGAATTATTTTAGTTTTAACTAAAATATGTTATCAAGTTTTAAAAATGAAATATCTATATAGTTTTTACTATAATATCTCTTCAAGAATTTATTCTGAATATATAGTATTAGTATTTATCTTTTGTTGTTTACATTTAGCATAATGTAAAGAAGCTGCGCAACAATATCTCCAAAAGTAAAGTTGGTGGGACAAGAAATCTGACAATAAGTTCGCAATGTATTTCATGGAAACAGTGGTGGGATGCTTTTAATTGGGATCAACAAACCAATTCATTACCTCTACACCAGCGCTTGACTGTAAAGCATTTGCAGCTGGGATATTCTTCAAAGATGAGAAACCATCTTGCAGAGCAGGTTCTCAACAAAGACATGTTRGAGTTGATGAAGGTAATCAMAMCATTWTGATAGAAATGCATYKAAATYRTYTTGTAATTTTYCTCRAATCCTTRTTCTGTAGGCATACAAAGATGACCTCTCTGTTAAGGCTGGCAAAAATGTTACATATCTTGACAAAACAATAGAGTTTCTTGGTGTAACCAGCACCCTTATTAAAAACTTCACAAGTCATCAGACCTATACCAACATGGCTGACAGTCGTCTGGTTGAAAATGACAAGTGCTTACAGTGGCTCCAGGAATGGCAATCTGACGTTAAAGGAAGACTAGACCTCAAGGCATCTGAGAGAAATAGGCTATTTTTGTCTGACAAAACCATGAATGATGTGACATCTTGCATTTTAGGGTTTAAAGCACTGTGTAGTTTCTCGTTTAAAGCACACCCTGGATGCAGAGTTTCTGCATATCTTGTAAACAGTGACATCGTGGAAAATGTCTTTTGCCAACAACGTGGTCGGAATGGTCAAAATGACAATCCAACATATGTCCAGTATGGACCTTCCATTAATAGCATTCTGTTGGGACAAACCACAACAACCAAGAAGGGTAACACAGGAAAGGTTGACAGATATGCATTTTACAAGCCGAACAAGCTACCAGTGCAAAGGAAGGACAGCAAGAAAAGGCCATTATTAGAACCAAAGGAAACTGATGCTCCCGTAACCAGGGATGTTATGTCAGATAATGTTCACAATGTATGCGTGTTTCGGGAAAGTCTGCCAGCTGGCCTTCATGGGTTCTTTTTGTGACGAGAGGCCTTCTGGGAAGGCTCTCGTGATAATGTCATCGTGCAGGTAAATAAGAGTGTAACCACTCCACTTCTACCAGGCGTTCCTGGTGGTAACTTAAACATGTGGTTGTAGTCAAGGAGATCTTTTACGATCGAATTTCGGGTTTATCGATTTATACGAGACCATACGAAGTTATCTACGAAATCCTGACGTCTGAAATAATCACTGAAAATACGATMAAGAAACGATTTGTCCTGACCACGTGCGTTCTCAGTCTCTTCGATCGTTGATGTGTTTGTGCTTTCGAAGCTGAGTTGTTCTTTCTATTACGGTATAATGCATTTAAACTCTGTTGTGTCTAGACCTAGGCACAACTTTCTTTGCATTTACAGTCARGTGTGYATTYCTAAAGAATATTTTAGATTTTGTAGTGGTTTACGGGGATTGTTTGACAACAAAAGTCCGATTGCTTCGCTTGGCTTGTTACAGACCAGTCCCGACCGCATGATTACTGTCATTGGCATATTTTGATTAGATTAAAATAATTAATTTGACCAGGCGGGTTTCCTTTGCCTGAGTTGATAATATCACATTACTTGATATATACTAGCTATCATGTTTCATAGTTTCATAATTTAGCACATGGTGCACGAATAAATTAGTTGTCTATATTCAGTAGTTTTTCTTTGTATTTAACTCCATTATGTCTCGCGAACTTCGTTCCAACACGAGACGGGATTATGCCGCCCTAGAGAGGGGAGAAGACGAGGAACATGATGGTGTGGACGAGGTATTTCACGAAAGTTTTAGCGAACTGCCCACGACCGAGGATCCAGTTACGGATGATGTAGTGGATTTACGACGGCAGATTGAAGCCGAGAGAGAGAGGAACGCTCAGCTTGTAAGGAACCAAGAGGTCAAAAAATTACAGCACCAACTGGCCGCCCTCAAGCGTCAAAACGAGCTTTTACAACGGAGTGAAACGTCTCACCATACCGTTCCGAATAGTTACCAGACAAATGTCTTAGAGAAAGGGGGCGTTCCCGGACTCGATAAACTGCGTTCGAATAGAAAAATCGCCAAGTCCGTGGACCATACATTAGCAAACCTTGGTCTTGATTCCGACAGCAGTAGCAGTAACGAGGATTCAGGGCCTGATACTCGTCGAGCGGGAAAAGCCGAACGGTCGCGTAAAGGTAAGCTCCGTTCTGGTAAACTTGCAAAATCGCTAACCGCGTCGTGTCCCCGCAGTTATGGCCGCATAGTGAATTAAGTTTTGCATATGTTAGTAAAAACGTGGAGTTCGACGATCTCTCTCTCGCGGAGTTTGTTGCGGGGTATACGGTCATTTTAAAACTGAAAACTATCCCTTTGGAAGAGAAGGAAGCCCGCCTGGAGCACCTGAATTCTCTTATGTATCTGGCCACCCAATTCCCGTGGAAAACCGCATGATTACTGTCATTAATAGATTACACATCAAAATGATTTGACCTATGTTAGCTTATGTTGTTGCAGTCTATTTTGACTCATGATGTTAATATTATATGAAAATCAGACTGTTCACAGACAAGAACTTTTATGTAATAATGACAACGTTACATAGTTTTGTGAATAAMATTCACTTTTATTGTTCAAATTGCAGTTTATACATAAGCAAGCAAAAATCTTCTTAGTTTAACTTTCTTTGTTTAACATGTGCTCCTTTATCTTTWGCATAATTATGTTAGAGTACAAGTAATAAATGTGTACAATAATACAAAATAGTGCTAACTATTAACAACAGAAAACAATAGAAATAGCATACTTAAGTAGTATTTAGTGGTATTTTGTACACTTCTGTTTGTACTCTGCTTTATAAAATCAGTATAGTTGTTTCCAAAGACTCATGAAATTCACTGTAACCGTCATTTTCTTCCTAATTTACGTGTACTACACTTTATTATTGGACTTTGTTTCACAGGGTTTTACATTGACTCTAATTGAAAATGGCAACAATTCATTAGAGTGCATTCATTATATCTGTGAAATATTTTGTAAGAAACTGCACAAAATTGCACTAATTCAGGATTTCACTCCAAATTGTTAAATTCAGTTTTCAAACAATTCTACGAATATAATCTATCATACATATATAAACAGCTCCCTCTCTCATTTTTATTAATTTTCACATGTATTTATTCAGCCTGAGTCACATGCAGTCTTCGACTGCCTATTTTTTCCTTCTGACATTTCACAATCCACATTGGGGGGAAGAAATGGTAGCTATGCATGCACTTTGATTGCCATTTATGTTTGCAATTATTTTGTGAAACATGWCTTGCCAACTAACTTCAACGAAGTTCTACCTGATGTTTGGGGATCTATGCTAGTGGACTGCATTACTGCTGGGAATTCACTCCATGATTCATTGCACCATGGTCAAAATATACCTCTTGATGTAGAAGATGCATTTAAGAAMTGTTCAGAAGAACTCCAACTATCATCATATGATGAAAATGTCTGCAACACTACTAATCAAGATGTGTGTCCAGTTGTGGGTTTGCTGTCTCAATGTGTGAATGAACGGATCAAAAGAGGATGTCTGCTGATTACTCAAGAAATCACTATGGCTGTTCTTTGCTCTTCTGCAGTAGAATTGATTCTAGTCGATAGTCATTATAATAATAATAATAATCTTTATTGAGGAAACTTTTTCATTTACAAAGAAATGGTTTTCAAAAAGGACCTCCTAAAATTAAACTATAAGATTAAAAAGCTAACTATATTGAAAAACTATATCATAACTATATAAAATATGAGGTAATTAAAAGTCTTAAAATTATAATTTTTACTAAAATACTAATTATAACTATTACAAGAAATATAACATTACATCATAGATATCTAGGCAAAAAAATAATTTAAGATCTTACGTTTAAAAACCTGAATAGAACTTGAATTTTTAATTTCGTTTGGTATTAGATTAAAATCACTAACTGCATGGTAGCTCAGTCTTTGCTTACCACAGTTTCGTTTTATACTGGGAAGTCTAAAATGATCATTGTTCCTGGTATTGTAATTATGATGATCCTGTTGACGCTCTAAATTTAAATGATGGCTTACTAAACCTTGAGTACATTTGTAAATATAAATACATCGCCTGTAATGACGTCTTTTAGACAAAGGTAGCCACTTTAAAGCGTTAAGCGCTTCTATGGATGAAGAGTAAAGAGGTCTATTTAATATTATTTTAGCGGCCTTATTTTGCAAAGTCTGGAGATTGCCCATAATTGTTGCATTGTTCTTATCTCCCCAAACAACATCTGCATAGTCGAATAGACGTAGAACTAAAGAATTATAAAATAAAAGACGGGATTTAAAAGGTAATAGATGCTTGATTCTCCTAAGAAGACTTAGTCTTTGATTAATTTTCCTATATAATACACATGTTCTGACCATGTGAAG